CTCAACTGAAATCTGAAATTTAAATGTATCATTATTTCACAGCTGCAAATAGGTTCAAGAACATCACTGTTTTGGAAGACCTTGTGTGTGGTTACACTTACCTTAGGACCTTTCAGTGCAAACTGAGTCACCCCAGAACATTCTCTTGAAATAGTTTAAAATACAAATTACCAAAGTATAATAATGCTTCTGAATGTCATTAACAGTATTAATTTATGACTACAAATATATTTATACAGTTGGTAGTGGTAGCTGCAAATAAAAAAATAAGGTTCCTAACAGTATTCCAGTATTCACCTTCACCATAAACATTTTCTGCCTCAAATTATTTAACTCAGACCTGATTTGCTTTTTTTAACTTAATTTTCTATGAACACTTGCAAAGTTCAAATTAAAATAAAATAAACAACATATACAGGTACTCTAATGTCATGAATCCTAATTGCATCAATTGAGTGGCACCCAGATCCACAATGAGATTACTAATCGGATTAAGAAAATTAGAGCACCTTGGTACTAAAAAACAAAGTCACAGAGACTCAAGAAATGCTTTCTCTTAGTATTCCATGCTTTCAGCGGGAAGAAAAAGATCTGGAGTCTAGCAGTACTTCATATACTGTACAATGAGCAATCCAGGAAAAGCTTTGTACAATTCTACTGAAGATAAAGAAAAAGAATGTAGCTACATCATAAGTTGAAAAACTACAACAAATTCTAAGCACCATATGAATCAACAGTACAGTACCTAGACACCTCTGCATTGATCAAGACATCTGTTTTTTACATTGTAGCTAGTCAACAAATTCAATAGAAAACTAAGCAAGAGTAATCTGTGTTTTACAATTTGAATATTAGGAAATTAAAAATTGTATTTCTTGGCTAGTGATTAGTGTTTAAAAAGTAAATTACTCTTTTAAATATGAGAGTTGGTCATAACACGCTGTGTGTACTGCATTTCAGCTTTGTAATGGCACTCGTCGCTGAAACAAAATGTCATTTCTTTTGTTCGTATTTTATTTTAATACATTAAAGTGAGTGTGTTAAATACTTTTGTGTACTGTACATTTCACTGCATGTGATAGTCATCAGAAAATAATTTCTTTAATTGCATTTAGTTTGACTGTGTAGCTGGGTATTTAACTGAGAAAATATTACCATAGCTTCAACATCTTAATAGCCCATGTCTGCATTCCTGTTTATTTCTTCAGAAGGATAAACAGTCGGGTGGGGAGTGAAAGCATTGTACAGACCTGAAGCACAGGCCCGTTACTGTGTTAGCATGGTACTATCATGACATCATTAGCACTTAGACTTCTTTAAGACTATAGTAGTTTTTAGACTGATGTAATGTGACATAGTAAGGACTAGTTATTAATAATACTATATCAGTAAGTTAAATAACATATACTGTACATTTGCTTGTCCTTTAAATATTTTTAACTAACCTATGTGGTAATTTAACTGTAGGGATTTCAAATCCAGTATTGGCGTAGGTCTCTACCGAATTAATTAAGAATATGCCTTTGAAACTTTGAAAAAAGTCCCTTTTAAAAAGTAATTTAAAAATGCCTTATGTAAAACTAAGGAATTATTATTAAAAGTGCCTAAAATAGATTCTTATTAGGAAAAGCTTATACTGTGTCTCTGTAAAAGATTATTTATTACTTATCATTTATTGTACAATTATTACTCGTATTTAATATTTGACCTCTCTGTCAATATCAATAACAAGATTGTACAACAGACGTGCTTTTTGATAGAATGTTATCAGCAGTGTGAAATATTTTCTTACAGTGACAGCTAAGGTTTCCTAAACTGTTTTATACTTGTTTCTTGATTAACATGGTAAGTTGAAAGTTGTCATACAATTACAAGCCTATCCAATTAGAATTGTTGCAATTGTAAAATAAAATGAATAAACTTAATTCTCTTAATATTAACAAGAAAAGTAGTGTATTGCAATTGTCTCAACTTCTTGTAGTGAAACATTTATTTTGAGAGTATAGAGAGTATTCTTAATAAACTTCAAAAGATATGTAACTTAATATTTTAAAATATCTGTAATTAACATAATCTGCAAAGTAAATGATTATAACAATGTCAGTGCTCAGCATTGTTTGACTCTATTTACAGAATGTTAGAAAATGAATACTTAATACTAAAATGGAGGGGTTTTCATTTAATCTTTTGCAAAATATTTGTAGATATGCTGCATTGAAAAATGTCAATGGAAATGATATGACCATGTAATGAAGCGTGATTTGGGCACTTCATTTGACTAATACCTTGTCTATCATATCACAAACATCAAAGAGGTTTTGAGCAATTGCAGTCATCATAGCCTCATTGGCATATTGATTGTTTACCCTTTTGACAATGTTTAATGGAGATGATGCCAGTAGGGGGTGTCTATTAACAAATATTAATTTAAGGTACATTATCAAAACAGCCCAGGCAAACTACAGAACATTACAACAAGAGTTAATAAATAAATGTTTCAGCTGTGCTAAACAAATTGATATAATCTTAGGTCTGATAGAAAAATAGTGCCAGTAAAGGACGTTCTGACCTTAGTGGGATCTAAAATTAGTGAGATCAACCACTCATTCAGTGCATTTGAATAACACTTGTTTCAGATAGAATAGAAAATTACTCATCCACACACCATCTCTGCTTACACAATTTCCCCCAGTAAAAGTGATTATATAGGTTTGCCTATACTTCTAAAACAACTTTATCAATATTTGTATAGTTTTTAGGATAGAAATATATTGTATGCCTTCAGAGTGTTAGTGAATTGGAGAAGGAAGCAGCCAGAGGCAGGTTATAATGATCACAGACATTTATTGCCTTTAATCTTTAACAACTGTGTGCTAGTCATGGAGAGTGAGATGGAGTATATACAGTACTTCGCTAACACCAATTGTGGTATAATAAACTAAAAATCTAAAATAAGCTTTAGGAGAGTCCACCTCCTTTTATAGGGGTGATAAAGGTGCCGTGTAATAATGGTTTCCTCTGTTGTAGATAGAGGCAAGTGGGCTGTGATAAGGGAGGCCTGGGCAGAGCCCAGATAGGCAGCAAAAAGCTGTGACTCTTTTCCAGAAGCCCCCTGCAGCTATGGGAGAACTTTATTAGTGGCAGCGGTTGCTGGAAAAACAACAGGTTGTACCCCGTCCTCAGAAGGAGAATAGGAGTGCTGAGAATATGGGCATGTTTCTGGAGAGGTTGTATGCACCCCCTCCCACAGACAGCTGTCTGTTCCTGGTAAAATACACCCAGGATCCATGGGGGAGGTACATCTGGTATCTGGTCTCACACATGGCCTGAAACATATGAGATTCAAAGTCCCAGCCTTGACCAGAGTGGATTTCCTGTGGCACCCCAAAGCAACTGAAGAAGTCCCCATTTTGTCCTTTATGGAGCACTTTCCACTTTTCACCAGAGAACTGCGTGCAGTTCTAGGTCTGCTTCACGATTCTCCTCTCTTGAGAATGTGGACTCCATACAATCCAGTTCTTGATCCTTGCAGCAGTCATTCTTTTCCACACAGCCTAGACTAATGTTTATCTGATGTTCTATTCCTGGCTCAGTCGTCTAGCAGATTCCACTTCTGCATTTGTGTGCAGGCTTTGGAGGGACATTAGTGTGGTGTTCTAGAACAATCTGTCTCTGCAGTATGGAATGAACCTCCCTGGGGAAAATGGCTGGCACCACCTTTGAAGTGGTGCTGGTTGCCACACAAGACAATTGGAGACTTGCCCATGCCTAAGGGAGACTTCCTAAAGTTTCCTTAGAATGGTATGACCAAGCACACTACTTTGCTTGAATAAAAAATTGAATGTTCTAATAATATTAGAGAATTAATCTATTATTCTAAACACATACAGTGTATCATATCATAGAGTTTAATTGAAGAAAGTAACTGAATGTTAGTATAATAGAATACAAGTATACGGCAGACTGCTGCTTGCATAGATCCACAACACAGGGACTAACTCAGTCAAACTTATGTATTACAGGGTGGAAGCTTCAAATGCAGTAAGAAAGAGGAAATAAAATAATTTAAAAAGCAGTAGAAATAGAACCACAGCCTCTGAACAGTAGTTATTGGGCCAAGTCTCCTGGCACACAAACTGAAACTATCCAAGTCATAGTGAATTAAAATGTTGACAGTTGTGACACAATAATTTAATGTTTCAAATTGGTTATTAGTTCCTATTGTTCTATGCAACAGTTGCACTTATTCGATTACAGAAAATGCATAAGGTGCAAAGTTATCTGCATTTATCATTGCTTCCATATTAATACCAGGGGGATTATAATAAAATATTCATTTTGACATTAACATAAGGCTCAGCTGTTTTGTTGCCAGAAAGCCTCACACCTTAGCTTTAGATGTGCATGTGCTGTATTGAAATCACAGATGAGAGTCTGACTAAAGGATCAACAATAGCTTAAAGCACCCTAGTGCAATTTATGTCTCTGGCAGATTGTCTTTTTTTGCTGAAATATCGAAGAAATAAAAAATTAAGAAAACCCTTAAAAACGTGACAAATCTTAAAGATTTTTTCAAGATTTGATTTATTTTAAATGGTCTTTTTAATGTAATTTTTTATTGATAAAAGAGGGCAATGTTTTTTTTTCCATAATAATTCTTAAAACAATTAAAACCTCAAACTGAAATACACAATATTAATAAAAGGTTACATTGAATTTGCTTTGTATTGAGTTTGTTCCTAAATCCCTTCTAATTTGTAGTGGTTCTAAAACTTGAGATACAATTTGCATTTCGTAGTCTTAAATTGAGCTCATGAATTATTTAGTGCTGTCTTGCAGGCATGGCTCTAAACTATAATTAGTTGTACCGAACACCTCTTGTCATGGTACGTTTCTGAGCCACAGGGGATGCATTGTTTCTTTAAGACAGAAATCTAGAGAGCAGAAAAGGGAAGCCAATGAGAGCCAGAGTGTATAGAAACAGTTAGTGACACCTTGGTATAGAGTCAGCTGAGAGAGCTGCTAGCTTCAGCAGGCAAGTGCCATTATGATGAATGTTTACAGCACTTTTTTGAGAGCCAATTATCTGCTTCTGTGTGAGTCATGGAGATCATTTAGGCTGGTAGCATGCACAAAGCAACACTGGAGCTTTCTCATTTTCACAAAGGCTGTGGAAAATGTAAAAGAATGAAATGCTTTATCTTAGGCAGGTAAGGATGCCTACTGCTTTGCAATTTCACTCTGCATTGTCTTTTTGTTAAGCAGGGCAAGGGAATCTCTTCGCTTGTGCTGTGTAATAGCTGAATAACTGTTTCAAGCTGGAAGTTTCACTACAGATAGGGAAGAAGGCTTGTTACCTTTATATGTAGGGAGCTGCTCTGGCAGGAATAGTAAGTCTTTATAAAACACAGGTATTGAATTGGATTTATGTGGACTGTTAAAAATAATTCAGTAAATCTATACTTAATTGATGTACTAGACCTATCAATATTATATATACTGTTAATCTTGTGTTTTGTTTTACGGAAATAGCAGTTTTATTTAGTTAAAAATGAAATGAAATATGAAGCTGCATGAATGAATCAAGTTTTTGTTCATTTTTGCTGTTGAATGAGAGATGTATGACTCCTAGAGCAAAGTATCATCCTCTGTGCAACTACAAGCTTTAAATCTGCAAGAATTAGGTCATTCTGGGTCAGGTTTATTTAAAAGATTTTCTTTTCCTCATTGTTTCATCTTAGTGGAAATCAAAATGTTTTAGTTAATGGAATATCTAATATAATTGTTGGCCTCTTGACTAAAGAATTAAGGACTCACTTAACTCACTCAACTTTTTTTAATACCATTATGAAAATCTGTACAAGAACAACAATTTAGTGATTGATATAAAGTCTTTCTTATTTTATACATATTTTTGCAGAATTGGAGACCTTTGCAGATTTATGATAATCATTTGTAAGAAATCTTGTTTTCCTTAAATTCTGTAAAATATAATTAACATTTGGAGACTAGTATAAATAGTAACCATATAATGAGTCATACCATTACACAGAGCTGTTGTCAATAACAGTGAATATACTGTAAGTCTTGTCTGATATCTTCATATAGTATTAATGTTGCTTACAATGGTAGTTTCAATCAAGATAATTTATTAAGAAGGTTACCTTTATAAATAAAAGCTATAAATACATTGTGAATATATTTATTTAAGTTTTTATTTTGATTTCTTAGAAATTTAAGATTAGAGTAATTGATTGCTGACCTTGCAGTATGAACTTATTTGTTCTATCTTTTTGGCGTTTTGTGGTATAATCTTATAGAAATTTTATAACTAAGCTGAGATGGCTACAAGAAAACAAATACCTTTTGAATTTTTAAACAGAATTAATTGTGGTTGCAGACAAAACTCTAGAAGTATCAGGTCAGAGAAAGATTTATCAGACAGGCTTATCTTAACAGTTATGCTAAATACAAGAAACAATGAAGCACTATGTAACTGTTATTAATTTGCACTTACCCTTGGTAATAAAAGATTACCTGTTAGAACTTCTTTAAAAATGTGTTGTCTTCAGCAGAATCCCTCTCTTTTATTTTGTTTAGTTTTTACCTTTGAAGATCATTAGAACCATAGTGGTGGAGTGTAAAGGATAGATTGTTGTCAAGGTCAGGCAAAGATTGGGCAATTGCTATGAAAATAAATCAATGCAATTCATTCTGGAGGCTTTTGTTCATTTAACAGATAATGTATGAAGCTTATAGGTTACATTGTTGATATGCACAACTGATTTTATCATGCTCTTACTCATACATTTGTACTCAACGTTAGGGAGACATACAGTATGAAAAAGAACTAAGACCCCAAAAATCATCTATAATAGTTCAACAGAAAATTCAGTAGAAAATTACTTTTAAATATGTTTTCTGCAGCAATTTTCAAATGAAAATGTTTCATTTATTAGCCATCACACTGATAAAAGCTCATGAATATTTAGAAAGGCACTAAATACAATATTCTGGCAGGTGCCAGAGAAGAGTGTGGCTTATGCCGGCATCACACAATACAACTTTTCCTAGGATTTTCAGTCGTAGCCTTCATCTACATAATCGTAAGAAAATCACAGAGAGTTGTAGAGAGTCGCCCATTACCATCAGTTGTGCAGTGTGACGCCCCCAGTGACTCAATCATAGCGCTGTTAACTGCCTCTACAACTCTCTAAACTGGTTTGTTTTTTTCGTAGCGAGTCGCAAGTCCTATGGGTGGGCAGTGAGCCAGATGTGTACTTGTGAGATAATGTGCTCATTATATTACACGTTATAGTGCAATACTAATTTGTTTACAATATTTGTTTTACAGGTGTATTATATTTTTAACTGTTTTATTTTTGTAAATGTGTTCTATATTTATAAAGAATAATATTTTTTAAGGTGTTTATTTGTAGAAAACAATGCCTGTAATACGTCTTTAAAGATGTTTACGTGCTTGTTCTCCATGTTGTTTGTATACTTTTGTGTGGTGCTCCTCCTCTTATTCCGGTGTGCTCCACATTGATTGGCTGCCAAAATGAGGGGACCTCATGGTATTTTCGTGGCATAATTCGAGATTTGGAACCGTGATGAAAATTCATCTGGGAATCGTGTAGTCATCCCCTGTGATTCCTATTTGTATAATTTAACACTCTCTAGGACAGAAAGGGCAGCAAGATTCAACAACTGCAGTCGTTGAATGTCGAGTCCTGTAGTGTGACGTCGGCTTAAATAACCAAAAAAAGTGCAAACTATTGTTCTTAATAGTACAGTTACAACTGCATGTCCCAAAAATCTCTTAGAAAAAAAAATGTCCTACCACAAGGTCCGAAGGGTTTAGAGACATATCTGAAAACTATTGTTCTCCTCACGTTTAATAAGGCAGTGGCAAGCAAAGCTGATTTTTCTTGTATCTAAGTTAGATAGAAATCTATAGGACTACAGCATTGGGGAAGATAAGATTTTTAGGAAACATCTAATTCTTTATAGCAGGTTGGAGTAATGAATAAAAAACTAACAAACAAAATTATCTTGGAAACTAATAAAGTCAGGTGGTTTTGAGTAAAGCTACTCATTAGTTAAGAAAAATGCATTTATATCCTTGTTCTTATTATTTATAAACAACCAAATGGGCTTCTCTAATTTATAAACTTTGTCCTGTTTTCTTATTATCGCTAACTTAAAGAAATTACCCTGGATGTGAAAAATAAGATTCAAGCACTTTCCAGCATAGCCAAAACCACCATAATATATATTGTGTATTCAATCTGTCAATGTATATCATTGTCTACGGGTGTGAACAAAATCTGGATTAACTTTAATAGAACAATCATTGTGTTCTTCATATCTGTTTACCTTTTAACATTGTCCTCCAGCATTTCAATAGTTTCAAGAAAGGAGCCTGGTGAAAAAACTGCTTCAGCTTCACAGGCTGTTTTTCTTTTCATTTTAAAGGGATATTTTACCTTTGAAACAGAAGTTGTTAACTTGTCAGAATAAGAAATAATTGTTCACTACTAACTGAATTTAATGCACTCAGTCATTTCTTAATTGTATGCATTGAAAAATCCTCAAAACTTTGTTATACAGTTTGTCCCAAAGGCTACACAACACGCCATTACAATCTCAAAGTACAATGTTTTTAAATTAGTCTTATTTAGGGAATAATACTTCTGATCATGAAGTCATTGTTATGCATTGCTAACTAACCACAACATAATTACATCCCATTTTAAGGGTCTAGATAAAAAGCTACCAATGTTTTCTGTTGTGATACAGTTCACGCTTTGCCTAAGTAAAATGTTGTATACCCCCTGGTGAACTGGCAGAACCTACTCAATTTTGGCATCTCTTCTAAGTCTGTGCAGTACCATTGGCACTACAATGAAATTTATTGTCATGTGTCCAAGAAAGGAGATAAAATATACATGTCATATTTTAATATGCTGATCATAATCAATGATTACATTTCTCATGGAATGGAGAAATTTCATGACATATCATAATGGTGTGTTCAGTGCAGTCAAAAGTTCTAGAAATGTGGTATGCAAAGCAAGCTAAATTTACAAGATGGAAAGAGAAAATTAATTATAGGAAAAACAGTTCTGTATATTCCCCAACAAGCCGTCATCTTGCTGCTGATTTCCTTTCTACATTAGATCTCTGCATGTAAAAAGGAAACAGTAAAGATACATTATGGAAGAGCTCATATCAAATAGTGTTACAGGGACCTGCAGCTGAATCTGTTAAATAATCAAGGTTGATTGCATATTTTATTATTTTTTCCCCAAAAAATAAACATACAATGTGCAAAAATCTGGATAAAATGGAAACTTCCACACGAAAAAATGGCACAGGTTTTACAGATTAGAGAAAATGTCCAAACATGCTGTCACTGTCTCTACACTAGCAAAAATGAAACCAAGCCATATTTCTTTTCAAAGGAACCATTTCTGAGAATGAGTGTTTTAAGATAGATGGTTTGGCTGCACATAAACCCACAGCAAAAGACACCATAACTTAAGGTTGATTGTAAGCTGGTAATCGGGAAAGAAAAGGACTGGATGAGGGTCAGCAGCATAGTCATCAGTTAAATCCAAAAGTACATCAGTCACATACTGTATACCCAAAAGCGTTCTATCACAGGACATTCCCAAACAATAGCAGGTACAGATGCAGCCATTCAAAGTTCGCGGTACAAACCCGTACCGCACGCATCTACGCATGAACCACCGCACCGTACCGCGGTACGTGATTGGCTGGCCAAAATGACCGACAGGGTCACTCGTGGTGCATTGGTTGGTAGTGAAAAGATTTAATCATTTAAGCTCTTTACTGTGCACATTTTAATCCGCTTAGTATTTAATATTTAATGGAATTTTACAACTAAAGGGAAATGTTAGTATCTGAGCATAAAAAGAATAGGATAAACGATATTAATTTAGGAACATAAACATACTGTATCATGTAAACTGTATATTGCTGTTATTGGTATTTTAAAGAAAAATTACACACCAGTATTCCATTTCTCCCTAAACATTTTAAGCATCAAAGTCTTACATGTGGTTATTTCGGAAACATTTTTACGTGCTCCTTGCTCCTTCTGACCATGCTACTGTACGTTTATATACAGTATTTTGTTAGAAAAGGGATAGTTTTAAGCTTTTCTGCTAATACGCTCAATATT